CTTTTTTTTCCCCCTTCTTTTCTCAAGGATTTGTCCTAATTGCTTTCGCGCGCGCCCACACAACTTTCAGGTGTCATCCTCAGAAACACGTCTACTTCCTTTGACAAGGTCTCTCACTGCTCTGGAACACAGCCCACGATTAGGCCAGCGAGCCCCAGGGATCCTTTTGTCTCTGCCTCTTCAGCACTGCTGTTAATGTCTGTGCTACCCCACCTGGGCCAATACTTCCATGAGTGCTGGGGTTCAAACTCAGATCCTCATGCTTGCTTGCCTGACTAAGCTATCTTCCCAGTCCCTGAAATGATCTAAGAAGAAACAGGAGAATATAAAATTAACGTAAGGAAAAGTTCAGGAATTTAAAAAGCAAAAGGAAGAAAACCCAGAGGTTGGGGAGACAGCTCATGCCTAACTAAAAACTAAATACTATATTCTTAGTAATTTTTGCAGGTCAGAACAAATGACACAATAGCCTAGATAGGTTCACAAACTTAGATTGCTACACACCTGCTCAAGGCAGGTATGACAACCTGTAAGTCAGACTGAGCGCAGGCAGCATGGGATTGCAGGGGCTGTAATGAAGGCAGGTCAAGGGCACAGTTGCTCAGTTCAAGCTTCCTTTTGCGAAGAACACATGCTGTTTCCTCTGCGACAACCTGGCTTTTATGTTAGAGTATTCAGTGTCTGAAATGTCTTCAAGGGCTGCAAACCATGTCTGTGGATCTATTCGTAGCCTTGAGCTATCTAGTGTTCTCCGTGTTACATCCTCCTCCATTCATTATAATTACATTAGACCTAGAGAAAGCAGGTCACTGCTTTTGAATGAGATGGTATCAACACGGGCTAGGTCAAAGATACCTGCACAAGGTTTTAGAAAAACATTTGACTTTTGCATATTGGAAATATGCTAAGTAGGCCACCTCTTAAGCTTGTCTTCATGTGTTGGTAAAATGCAGTCTCATGAGCTACCGGCCAATCTACACAACTGCTGTGGATAGCAAACTCGAAAGCTGGCCAGGGTATGTCATAAGCTCTAAAGCTCAAAGCAACTATTGATAAACGGCTTAATTAACAAGAGACCTCAGGCGTGACCTACGAGTTTTCATCTATAGAGTTGGTTCTCTCATAAAATGAGAATAGAGACTATTCTCGTGAGTTTTCTCACATCTGTTAATATTATAAACGTCTTTAAAATGTTTAAGTGGTATGTAGCGACTTCATCATAAAGTAGTTGTTGAAATGGCAGATACACTAACAGAGGAGCATACAGTAATCTCCCAATAGCTGAGTATATTATGGACTGCGGAGAGCAATTAGTTAGTCTGGAAAAGTTAAGACTCAGGTCTGGTTTCCCCTCCTTTTCTTTTTAGGCATTCATAGGGTAATTCTGCAACCAATCAGATATCTATGATTTTTATTACTGGAATTTCTGGAAATACCACTATCATCATGGAGGTAAGCAAGAGTACTTGGATCACGAAGTGAAATTCAGGAAGAAGGCAGCTTCCTGACTATGACTAATGAATATGATACCAACACTAACTTCTTTTACCTACTTTTATGTAAAAGTGTGTGGTGGGAAAAGTTACTGTTGTTCTCTTTACCATGAGCCACTAAACCATCCAGGCTCAAAGACCAAACAGCATTGTAATTTATGACGGGCTGTACTAATAAAAACTCCTTATCATTTGTATTTTGTTTTATGAGACAGGGGCTATGTAGCCCAGGCTCACCTCAAAGTGAGTATGTAGGTGAGCCTCGAGCTCCTGATTCTTCTACTTCCAGGAACCTCCATGTGCTAGAATTGAAGATGTACATACACTACTATCCCTCCTGCCATTGTGTCTGTGTCTGTGTCTGTGTCTGTTCTTGGGGGTTGAACCCGAGGCCTTACACAGGCTGGGCAGGTACTCTACCACTGGGCCATTCCCACTGCCCATTTCCACTTTTAGACTGAGTCAAGGTCTTGCTAAAATGCCAAATTTTGAAATCATCCTACCTCAGTCTCCTAAACAGATGGTGCCCACATGCGTGGCCCATCAAATATTACTGTATGAGTCTTAATTTTTAGGGCCAGTGAGATGGTTTAGCAGATTAAGGTACTTGCTGCTAAGGCTGATGATCTGAGTTCCATTCCTGGGGCCGGCATGGTGGAAGAACCATTCTCTGATGCCATATGTGCACTATGGCAAATCATATACACACACACTACATGTAATAAAAAAGTTAAAGACATTCATTTTCAGCTTTCATTAAACAATAGCTCAGCTAGCAAACTCATCACATCAGTTCTTTTCCTCTATTTCTTAAAGATTAATGTAGGGAAGAAAAGAATGATAACAACTGTAAAGCCCAAAAGGCTCAAAATTAAAGAAAAGTGTTTTAATAAAGCACCTTCCAGATAGCTGGGCATAGTGTCACACACCTTTTAATCCCAGCACCTCAGGGAGGCAGAGGCAGGCAGATTGCTTGAGTTCAAGGCCAGCCTGGTCTAGGACAGCCAAGGTCACAGAGAGAAACCCTGTCTTGAAAAAAACAAAAACCAAAACCAAACTAAAAAAACAAAACAACCCCCCCCCCCCCCCAAGAAAAAACCCTCCACGTTTCTGGTGAGGCTGTAAGTAATGCTTTATGCTTCCTTCTTTTCCTGGAGTCACTGTTAAACTGGATTTACTACAATTTTAGAAATTGCGTAACAAAAATTGTTCTGCTATAAAACGCCCCCTCCCTATAACTTAAAATTGTTTGTTTGTTTATTATATAACTTTGGCTCTCCTAGAACTTGCCACGTGGACCAGGATGGCCTCGAAAAATCACTAAAAACCTTCCATTTGTTTGTCTTATTTTTGAAGCTGTGCCTTGCTATTGTAGTCCTCGGTAGTCCAGAGCTCACTACATGGCCCAGGCTTGACTTAAGCTTAAGGCAATTATCCTGCCTCAGCTTCTCAAGTGTGAGAATTACAGGCGTGCACAACACCTGGTTATTTACGATTAAACAAAAATCTCCAAATAAGCTGAGTGTGATGACACAATGTCTTTAATCCCACAACTCAGCAGCAGGTGGATCTCTGTGAGTTCAAGGCCAGCCTGAACTACATAGCAAGTTCCAGGACAGCCAGGGCTACATAACAGAGACCCTTTGTCAATAAACAAACAAATAAAAATCTCTAAGTTAAAATGAAGTGTTAGGGCCCAAAATGGTGATGTGCAGAAGAAGGCAGGAGACTAGGCTCTAAGGTATTTAAGCATTGCCTGATTAACAAGACGCTGTCTCAGACAGAGGGAGGGGAAGGTGGGAGAGAGGCAGAGAGGATTATAGCTCAAGCTCAATGGAACAAGTACTTGCCTACTATGCGCTAGGCCCTGGATTCCATGACCTAGTTTAAACCACTGGGGAAAAAATAGTTCTTGAAAAACTATAATAAAAAAAAGAAGTAATTTAGTAGAAATAAAATCCAAAGACAACCATTACTCTTTAAAATGGAGCTCAGTTGGCTGAGTGCTTGCCTAACATGTATGACATCTGGTTTTTGCATTACTAGGCATAGTGTACACTATAAGTCCAGCACTCCCAGAGGCAGGAGAATTAGAGGTTCGAGATCCTCAGGTGCAAAGCAAGTTCTAGGCCATTCTAGGATGCATGAGGCCCTGTTTCAAAAACCCAAAATAGAAGCCTCCCTACCCCCCCCCCCACCCCTGAGAATGGAACCTTGGTAGCACAGGCCTCTAATCCCAGCTATTTAGAGGCTGAGGTAGGAGGATCACCACATTCAAGGCCAGCAAATTAAAGAGATCATGCCTCAAAACAGGTTAAAAAAAAAAAAAAAGAAAGAAAAAAAAAAAGCCATGGACCTAGTTTACTAGATGTATGTGCAACCCCCAATACTGCAAAAGAAAAATAGAAAAAGAAAAGTGATTGTACAGCACAGTGTTTAAAGGTATAGACTCTGGAGACAGATTATCTAGGTTCAAATCCAAGTTCCTATCACTTATTGTATCTGAGATTAAGGAGGCCACTTGACCTCTGAAAGCTCAACTTCCTCACTATATAAAGGACAGTAATTCCATGTTAAAAATTAAAAGGATTCATAATTTTTCCATAGATCATATAAATCTGTCATTGTCATAACTGGAATCTGAAATCACAGAGGAAGGGAGTCTAATTGAGGGGTTGTCTAGATTAGGTTGGCCTATGGACATTGGTTGTGAGCTTTCCAAGTAGGTGCTGGGAAATGAACTCTGATCCCCTACAAGAGCAGCAAGCGCTCTTTACCACTGGGCCATCTCTCTAGCCTCTTTCATTGTGTTCTAGTGTTGAAGGTGGAACTGTGGACCTAACGCATGCTAATGCTGGGCAAGCGCTGTACTACTGAGGGATACCCAGGCCCTGGTACTTCTGAAGATCTGAATGGTGATCAAGCATTACTAAAAAAGGAGCAGAGTGACTATATAGATGATGTCAATGCAGCAGATTTTGGAAGGCTATTAATTATAACAGATTTTTTTAGGTCAGCAATACAGGTTAATGATCACAGCAGAATCTTCAAAGGTAAGTTTATGTACTTTCACTTATTCTACTTACATTTTTTAAAAAGTAATAGTATTGAATGTAAATTTTGGGGTACCTTAAATTTTTTCCTGAATTTAATACTTCTTTTTCTGTCAGCCTTGGGCCCTAACTAAAACTTACTGGTTAAAAATATAGTTAATACACTAACAAAACAGTTTTGAAAGATAAAACAGAGTTTCTCTAACAGCAGGTGCTAAAGAGATCATCAAAAAAACTTACTTGATTCATTTATTGGGCTTTCCTAGAAATGAGATTTAGTATCAAAAGAAAAACAGGTAATACCACAGACAGCAACTAATTCATTAATTTTCATATATAGTCAAGTCTATCTCTGTTTTGTATAGAAATCAAGGTTTGATTCTTTTAGCATGTCAGTGCTATACTGGGGTGTAACTCCTTATATGAATAAGCACAATCATGGCATCAAACTTACTTTTCCAAAGAAGCCTTTGAAGAACTTCCTTTCCTGGAGGAACAGGGGGACAAGTCGAGTGCTATTATTGTATAGGCTAAATGTCCCAGTTTCATATCAATTAAGCACATACAGAAGTAGAAGAGAAGGAGAAGTGGGAAAAGGGGAGGGGCTGAGAATTTTAAAGAGTTATCCATACAAGGAGTGACAGGGAAAAAGGAGAGGTGCGTGAAAATGCAGGAAAACACACTGTACGACCTAAGAATCCATGGAAAAGAGATATTCAGAGCCTACATTCATGCAGTGCAAGTACATAATTTAGTAATCTCTATTTCTCCAACAGAGATTATCCAAATTTGGCAGCAGAGAAGATTAGGACATACTAGTTGGGCATGATTCTGCATTTAAAATACCTAATAGAAACAAATAAAAGCTTAATTTTACATAGATTTTTTACTTAAAATCAATGGTAGTCAAATGTGGTGGAGTGTGCCCATCAGCCTAGCTCCTTATGAGGCTAAGGCAGGAGTGCCTGAGCCCAGGAATTCAGGGTCAGTCTTGATGTCATTGGGAAAGCCTGCCTCTTCAAGAAATGCAAACACAACAGGAGTCAGAGAAATTACTCCAAGTCAGCCTGGCCTTCATAGTGAGATTCCAGATCAAAAGCAAACAACTAACTTGTTGGTAAAGCATGCTTCCCCACTGTGTGAGGCTGAGTTTGATGCCCTGGCACTGCAAAACATAACAAAACACAACAAAAATGGCAACCCATAAAGTTAAATCCTAAGCATACACCAAGAATTCTTGCCACACCTTTTCTAAATCTGGAAGCTGTGTCTCAGGTGGCCCACATCTATCATTATCAGTCTGTATATGTGTGTGCTCATCAATTCTACACAAAGAGAAATAGCAGGACTAGGTCAGAATAGATCATTTATGAAGGATATATGTTTACACTTGGGCATAGAAAAAAATAGTTAAGAACCACATTATGTTCATGGGTCACAAATGGAATTTAAGAAACAGGTTTTGTTTTTTTAACTGTTCTTTTTTTCCCATTTTTATATTTTTAATAACTTTCTGATTAAAAAAAAAAAGATTATGTATACAATGTTCTGTATGTACATCTGCATGCCAGAAGAGGGCACCCGACTCATTATAAATGGTTGGGAGTCAAGATGTGGTTGCTGGGAATTGAACTCAGGACTTCCAGAAGAGTAGCCAGTGCTCTTAACCTCTGAGTGTTTTGTTTTGTTGAGACAGGGTCTTGTATGTAGCCTAGAACTGAACTATGTAGACCAGGCTGGCCTGAAACCCAGAGATCTGCCTCTGCCTTCTGAGTGCTGGGACTGGAGGGGTTCACCACAACTAGCTCTACCATCAAATTTTAAGCACCATTTATACAAGTTGATTATTAAGTAAAACTTGAAGAACTTATAAAAAGGAGATAGGTTCTAATTCTCCCAACGCAGCTTTACATTTCCCTCCTATGGTTGAACTCTACTTTTAATCCTTTACTTTTTATAATCAATGTTTGTTGCTGCACGAATGTCTAGTAAAGACAAGTATGATTAAATATATGTCTCCTGGCTTATGAATGCATTCTGTGCTTTTAAGCACTAGAACATTTCCCCCTCAGTTTTGAAAGTCACAAATGGCATCAAATATTTCCGCAAGATACTCTACTGAAGCTAGCTGTTGCAATAAGACTAACATTATTTCTGCTGCCAAGTTTGGTGGCCCTAGTTTTGTTAGACTATGAGTAACAATTAGCTTTCAAGGATGCAGCCAAGTTACAGATCACCATTCTCAAAGGGTCAGGAGGGGACAGTTAATATTTAATCAGCTCCTAGAAAAGCTCTTGTTAAAGACAGGTTTTCTTTTCCTTACAAAAGACCCCAGGTTAATGAAAAAAGGTTGCATGCAAAATGCATAAAAGACAGATATTGGATTAGAGTATATTAACATTCTTTTAAAAACAAATTATGATTCTTTTACCTGCTAAAATAAGAACATATATTAAAACAAATATATCAAATAGTGAATAAAAAAACCCCAACATACTAGAAACTAGTTATATAATGAAACAAATCTAAAACCAAGGTAGAGAAAGAGAGACATTCAGAAGACAATGGAATGAAATAACTATCTACGATGAAAGGCATTTTGGATCACAGTGAAGCAAAGCCAACCCTGATACAATCATTACAGAGCTTACTGCTGATGGGAGAACAGTCATCACCCTATAACATATAGGCAACACAACAGAAGCAACATCCATTTCTAAAATTTAATCTATGAAATCTAAGTTCTGTAATAGCTAATTAGTGAATTATATCACAAAATAGATGAGTTAAAAATAATTGTTATTTTATATACATGAGGGTAAGAAATAAGTCTGAGGAACACATTTAAAAACTATCCCAATGCTGATTCACTTGAGGATGCCAACTTTGCTAATGACTTCTAATGGAAGTTAAAATAATTTTAAATTACAAGGGACCATGTAGGGGAAGGTCTCCATATTAACTACATTCGCAAATCATTTTGAATTTCTCACAAAGTTAAAACTACTAGAAATAATTTTTTTTAGTTTATAAGTCATTATAATTTGTTTCGCTGCTTAACTGATATCTGAGCTATGTAATTTTTTATATTTTGAAGCTGTGGCATATAAAGTATTTTATTAATTCTCTATAGCTTTATGCACTCCTATAACTTGTTTCCATCTACTTAAAATTCTTTCAGGAAACTTTATGCTCTTTATGCTAACAACAAAAAAATAGACTAGTGACATAGCATTTGGTGCTATGTAAGAATAGGGCACAGCATGTTATAGACCCTAGATAGATATCTGTTAAAAGAATATTACCAAACCAAAAAATATACCTGATATTTCTACTATGAAAATATGAAAGTAAGACAAAAACAAAATCACAGAGCTTTGTGGACTCACGAGAAAATATCCCGAAGACTCTCTGCTTACTGCAAGGGTCTCAGAACAATCAAGTTCTTGTTTGGTTGGTTGGTTTTGGTTTTTAGAGACAGGGTTTCTCTGTGTGGCCCTGGCTGTCCTAGAACTGGCTCTGCAGAACAGACTGTCCTTGAACTCAAAAGATACACCTGCCTCTGCCACCTGAGTGGTGGGTTTCATGTGCCACTACCAACTGGCTTAGGCAGTGCATTTTACTTCAAATCCAACTTGATTTTTTAGCACATTTGCCAATGTAAGTCTATGTCCTAAATTGCCTGGATATGCCGGAGGCTGATGTAGCGCTCCTCAGCTGTTCCATTATCTTTTGAGTGAACCTGGAGTGCACTAGAGCACCTAGACTGGCTGGCCAGTGAGCTCGAGTGTTGTCTTCACTTCCCTAGCTCTGGGATTAGAGCCTTATGTTTTGTAACTAGCTATTTTGTTTTGTTTTCGTTTTTAACATAGGTGCTGGGGAATCTAAACTGAGGTCTTCACCCTGGTATGGCAAACCCTTCACCAACTAAGCATGCCCCTGGCCCTGCGGAACTACAATTTTAAAATGAAAATTTAGGTTTTATTTATGATGAATTTTATTCATCATAGATAACATTATTCATAGATAACATTAAATGTTATCTAAACATTTGAGGCCTAGGACAGGCCTCAAACAGCAATCTTGTTTTAAAAGTAAAAGGTGAAATGTACTCAATAAAAAACTAGATTTAAAGGAGGTGGTGAGCAGAGTAGACAGGCTTGTGCCTGCACTTTGCACACATGGGAGGTGGGCGCCAGAGGAGTCAGAGTTTGAGGCCCTGTCTCAAAAAGCCAAAACCCCAACAGAAGCAGCACAAAAGCTAGACATTTAAATACGGCAACATCTGGAATCGGAAGAGACCTTGCTTTATTTAATAAATATTTTAAAAATTAATTAATTAATTTCCTCTGCATGGCTGTTCTGCCTGCATGTGTGTCTATGCTCTTGGAAGCCAGAAGAGGGTGTCAACTCCCCTGGAACTGGAGTTACAGTTGATTGGGAACCACCATGTGGTTGCTGGGAATTGAACCTTGGTCCTTTAGAAGAGCAGACAGTGTTCTTAACCACTGAACGATCTTTCTATCCCCCACTTGTAAATCAGGTTCATTTGTAGTTTATACAATAAACATATTTTCCTACACAATAAAGAGATGTTTTAATTTTTCAGAGAAGTTAAGATCCAGATGAAGTATCACCTGCCTATAACCCTGGCATCTTGGAAGCTGAGGAGGATAATGGGCTGGGAGTTGAGACTTTCTCAAAAAATGCAAATAAAACAGACAGCCATCAAAGTTTAAGAACAAGATTGGACAGTAGTGCTGGCAGTGTGGCTTGTGCAGTCATGTGAAGCCCTACGTTTAACCCTCAGCATGGAAAAAGAGGACTGTTGCTAAATTAAATGATTACCTAAAGGCTAACTCCACCTATAACAAGCAGTGCGTGGCCTTATCACCCTAAGTAAATGTAAACGCTTGGAATAACTAGTTTGTTTCAGGATAATCTAATCTGTTTGCCATATTTTAAATTAAGATTTATTTTTATTTTAAATTATGTGTGTTTCTGAGTATAGGTCTGTGCTCATGTATGTTGTGACCTCAAAGGCCAGAAGAAGGTATTACATCCCATGGCAGTGGAGTTACAGGCAGCTGAGAGCCACCTTAAGAGAGTACTGGGAACTGAATTTGAGTCCTCTACAAGAGCAGCAAGCCCTTTTAACTGCTGAACCATTTCTCTTGCTGCCTGTCTCCCCTTTCCTGGTTTGCCTGTTGTTTTCCATGTAATACCGTGCTATAAAATATTCTTTGCTTGGGCTACCTACTGAGCTATACAAAGAAAATATCTCAAAAAACAAAAAAGAACGAAAGAAAGGAAGGAAGGAAGAAAGAAAAACATTCTTTAAAAAAGTTAAATATTTCTAAAGCATCATTAGTTTATCATTATTCTAGAGGAATGTAGACTTTTATACGAAAAAAAATTAAAACTTTTATTTCTCTTTAAAACTAAGTGGAAAACTAAATTACCCGAGTATTTATCTAGTTATTCACCAAACTACTTATGTATGTATGTATGTATGTATGTGTGTGTGTGTGTGTGTGTGTGTGTTTTGAGATAGGGTTTCTCTGCATAGCCTTGGCTGTCTTGGACCTGTCTTTGTAGACCAGGCTGGCCTTGAACTCACAGAGATCTGCCTGCCTCTACCTCCCCGACTGCTAGGATTAGAGGTGTCCAACATCATGCCCAGCTGAACCTGTATTTAATTAGGGAATAGCCATATAAGAGAGCAAATCCGCAAAACTAGTTTCATGGACTACAGAACATAAACTTAAGTCCTCTTAAAATGAATGGATTCAAGGAAACTTCCTGGACTTCTATCATTTAAGAATTTAAATGTCCAAAATCTAAGATAAAAGGGTTGTATACATATAGTTGAATGTGCCGTTTGTATAGAGTTGCCATGTTTTGTGTTCTACAAGTAGTTATTTTCTACTTTTTTTTCTACAACAGATTCAGACATTTGTTCTAAAAATAAAAACTAGCTCTTTGATATATTTTCACATTTTACATGCTTTATAATTGAGGGAATATATAAAGGTAACATAAACTATATCAGTAAAGCAGAAGAGTTTTGGTTATTAAGCAAACTGAGAAATAAAAAGCACTCATTAGTAGCCAAACTTATACTAGCAAACCCAAAGGAACATGAATATAATGCTGTTTGGGGACAGGCACATGCAGAAGTAATGCTTCCAGCTTCCACAGCATAGTGGGGAATGGCTATACACTGAAGAGAAGGAGGCTCTGAAGAAGGCTTGAAGAGTCATGGGACAGTCCTTAGGCATACTGAAAATAGGAAATTAACGCTCCAGTCTGAGCCTTTGTCAACTGCAAATAGTTAGTCTCCCTTACTAAATACACAAGTATGAATGTAGGATGTATTTTATGGTGTAGCAGGCAAAGAAAGCATTATTTATCCTGAAAAGGATACATTTCAAGTTTATGCAAAAGGAGAGAAAGTAGGTTGTTTGTGTCAGAGGGACATGAAAAGATAGATGTGGGAGTCAAGACGAGAAGTCAGGCCTTAAACAGGTCTTTTCTACATCTGTCCTGGAAAAGCTGTTCCTTGCAGATTTAAAATCAATAGTGTAGAATCCAGGTACCACAAGCTGTTAACTGTAACATTTCTGAGCTGGTTTTAGAATATCATTTTCTATCAGATTTTGTATTACTTGTTTCTTATGAGCATGTTTTTGAAAATGTAGGAGGAAAAGGTTGATCTTTCTAATCTTGTACTTTTAAATAGAGAAAATGAGATATTCTTTTTTTTTTTTTCCTCCACTAAGCCCACATCTTTTGCCTTGGGAGAACACACTGTTCTTACTGGATACTGGGTAGCTAAAATTCAATGAGCACAATCTTGTAATAGAACACTGACAACAGATAGATCAGTACTAGCAACTAGCAAATACATACAGCTTTCAGTCTTTTCACAGCATCTTCACAGATGTGCATTCCTCTTGACTCATCAACTTCTACATGGCCGAGGTACTGTGGAAAAAAGGAAAGGAGTCAGCTCCACTGATGTGTTTTGAGAAGCTATTACCTAGTAGATAGCTGATAATAGAAAATTCAACTCCTGCATTCAAGAAACTCATAGCTACTGTAGAAAAGTGAAGGTAATCTTAATTTTACTCATGCCATATGTTCATGGAAATAAAATTTAGAATACTTCAGACTTGTTAGGGGAATAAATGAAAAAATACATGATAGTAGCTAAAAGTTACACCAATCTGTGGGATCACTAGCATACTAACCTAAATGAAACACAATTCCTCTATTTCCACACATGAAAACAATCCTAAGACAAAGAAATAAAAAGTACAAACAAGATCAGCACGATGGCTCAGCTGGTGCTTGCTGCCAACCTTGATGACCTGAGTTCAATCCCTAGAACCCATATGGAGGAAAGAGAGCACCAAAGTCCACAAACTGTCTTCTGACCTCTACACATATAACATAGCATGCATGCAACACAGGGAGGGAGGGAGAAAGGGAGAGAGGGAGGGGTAAATTTTGAGAAATAAGAAATTCTAACTTTGAGAAATAAATTATCATGGGCTGAGAGAAGTATACAAACAATTGCATATCATAGGATAACTAAATGCCAGGAAGTTTCCCTGCTGCCTGGAATATGAGCTATAAGAGCTTGGAAATTTTGGGTTCTGAAATGAGCCTGTACTTGATCCTAGAGACAATAGGAATCTAAGAATAAATTTTTAAAGGTATTTTTGACCTAAACTAAACCTTGTTATAGAACTAGTGTCAGGTCAAAACAGAAGGGATGATGGCAATATGCTCCTGATCTCATGTTCTAAGGGTTCCCTCCCTCTCTAACTGACAAGACCTTACAATCTTGTATGCACGCCAGGCTGGCCTTGAACTCTCAATCTTCCTATCTCAGCCTCTGGAGATGCTAGGAGTACAGATGTACACCATCATCCATGACCCATAGGTGCTTTCCTAAAAGGCAATTCAGAATCTGGTTCCAGGTGAGACAGAGAACACTTAATACACACACCCTAAGCCTCCCACCAAATGAAACCATAAAATCTGGATAGAGTGCATTGGAGCAGCTGTTGAGTTTCTGAAAACAGTAAAGGAGAAGAGAACACTGTAATTCAAGGTGTCACTAACTTCCAAGTTTCCTTTTCCTACTTACTTCTTTGGAACCCCCAGCATAAAAAAATATAACCAGAACAGCATTGTTCTTACACAAAATCTCAAACATTTGGGCTGAAAGCCTATTAGCTTAGAGAGACAGAGAAAGCACACGGGTGACCTTACTCCTCAGCCAACATCCCAAAAGGAAAAGGCCATCTCTCCTTCTCCAATATTGTCTTAATAACTCCTTCAAACCAAATGTTCCTCCTTTCTATTTTCCGTGAGATTGTTTATCCATCCTGAAGGCTCCTCTCACTCTCTAAGTTTTTTTCCTATGTTCACTCCCTGTCAAGTAGTTGCTTACTCCGCATCTTGACCTATGGTTGACTTTACTTAATCCTGTTTACAAAAAGCTCATGGATTAAAGGTGTGTGCTAGGGCTGAGCCACACCACAACCAGAAACAGGTTTTTGCTGTGTGTGTGTGTGTGTGTGTGTGTGTGTGTGTGTGTGTGTGTGTGTAATATTGGGGGTCACAGTGTGATCAAATATCCTGCAACAGAACAGTGAGATGGGGCACAAGGGAAATTCTGGTAAAAGTACTTTGGTCCGACTTGAGGACTAAGAATGCAAACTCCTAACTCAGAGAACACTTAGGAGCTGCAGGAAGCAGCCCTGAAAACACTGAAAGCAATAAAAAATAGCAAAACTGAAAACATCTTAAATTCAGGGTATCCTCTCCTAAAAGAAGAAAAGAACCAGAGGATGAGATAGGAGACATCCAAGAAGCAAAAGGAAATTAAGGAACACAAAAGCTTGAAAACTGATCCCAGAGACTTGTTTTTGAAGTCTTACAATGCAATATTCAGCTGGCATATGGCAAAATCATGAATTTAATTCATCTCAGGGGAAAAATAATCCATGGTTACCAACACAAAGACTTTAAAGCAGTTATTTAAAAAAAATATTCTAAGAAGCAATGGTGAATTGTCTTGAAATAAATGCAAAGTTGAAGGTCTCAACAACAAAAGTAGAATAAAGAAATATATATATATAGAGAGAGAGATAATAAAATTGAAATCTTTTAATTTCATAAGGAGAGTGGAGACAGTAACCTCTGAACCTAAAAGACGATCAACTGTAAATGAACTTCATACCCAGTATCATACATAGTGATGAGAAACCACATGCCTGGACCTTGATATGAAAATGCCCTAACCTCTTAGGTTTTCATATGAATTTGAAGAGTATATTGCTAGGTCATGTGGTAATCGTATGTCTGGCTTGATAAGTTTCTTATGGAGTGAGCATTTCAAGAGCTCCACATTTTGACCAGCAACTGGTAGTGTCCGCTGCACTAGAAGGTCATCCTAGCAAACCTGTATTGGATGGATTATTTTGTTGGCTTTTGTTTGTTTGTTTGTTTGCGACAGGATCCCACTATGCAGCCCTAGCTGGTCTAGAACTAGATATACAAACCAGGATACTCAATCCGCCTCTACTTCCTGAGTGCTGGTACTAACGGCTTGTGCCACCACACCGGGCTCTTTTGTATGTTTATCCTTAGCTACAGGACATTTTATCAATGCTGGTTTGACTTTTGTCTGTTTCTTTCCTATCCCCTCCCCCCTCAACACACACTGTTTGTTTTGAAACAGGGTTTTGCTTTAGAGTCCAGGCTGGCATTGACTTCTGGATCCTTTTGCTCCTGCCCCTCAAGAGCTAGAGTTATAGGTATGGACCACCACGCTTGGCTTTTCTATCAGGTTTAAAGTATTCTTGAAGTTCAAGTCTCCTTTAGACATGATTTGCAAGTATGTACAGCTTGTTTTTTCTATTGTTTTTAATTTTTGTGTGTTTAAGATGAGTCTTTCTTTTTCTGTGGCTTAGGCTGTACATCCTATGTAGCACAGGTGGCCTCAAACTTACGTTCTTCATATCTCATCCTCTTGAGTGCTGTACATCTCAGCACTCAGGAGTACAGACCACGCCTGGCCCATTACCAGAATTTTTTTTAAAAGGTTGTTTTTTTTATTTTATGTATATTTGTGTTCTGCCTACATATTACACATGTGCACCATACATGTCTGGGGCTGTAGAGCCCAAAGAGGGCACTGAATCTTCTACAAGTTACAGATGGTTGTGAGGTATCGTCTTGGCTGTCCGAGACTCACAGAGACCTGCCTGCCTCTACCTCCCCGACTGCTGAGATCACAGGCGTGCGCCACCATAGCCAGCTGTAGCAAGTACTCTTAGCCACTGGGCCACATCTTTAACCCTCATCCAATTTAACAATGTAGACATTTTTAAAATATTTACTATTATTTAAATTTTTATGTGCACAAGTGTTTGCCTGCATGATATATGTGCACCACTTGTATGGCTAGTGACCATAGAAAGGACACTGGAACCCCTGGAACTGGATTTATGCACGATTGTGAGCTGCCGTTTGGGTGTTGAGATCTGAACCTGGGTTGTCTGTAAGAGCAAGCACTCTTAACCACTCGAGTTATCTCTTCAGATTCAGTTTAGCAATTTTTAAAAAAAAGAATTTATTTTCAAAAATTTTATGTACTTTGGTGGTTTGCCTGTATGTATAATGAACAGGAATTAGACAGTTGTGAGCTGCCATGTAGGTACTGGGAATTGAACCCAGTGAGCTTAACCATTGAGCATGTTCCTAATGATGTTAATTCTCCTCATTTTTGTGTAAATTAGTCAGCTGTATACCGTCTTTGGGGGCGTTTCAATACTTCCTCCTGTGTACGTCTTAGTTAGGCTGCACACCTTTACAGAGCTCTTTACACATCTGACACCAAACATTTGTAAGGTAAATGGCTTCACAATGTCTTCTTCTAGTCTGCACTTTACTCTCTTAATAGCCTTTGGTGCACCAAAATTTATTTGTTTTTAAACAGGACATGTCACCCTAGCTCACGTCATATTCCAACCTGTGATCACCCTGTCTCGGCTTCCCAAGCACTTAAGTGCACAGGCGTGCACCGCTATTCCTGGCTCCTCTGTCAATTCTCGAGTTAAGCTGTACTTTGTACTTCCATATAGTTTAGATCCCACTTGACTTTTTGTGTGTGTGTGACTGGTTTTCACGTTTATTTACAAAGTCTCACTGGTTTATAGTTTCTTGTTTGCTTCTGTGATATCTTTATTAGGCTGATAAACATTTTGTTAATTCCATTAACATATAAAACTGTCCATGTTTTCTACTTATTTCAATAAATTTAAATACTATAGATATTCTTATAGGGCTTGGAAACACTGGTCCACAGACTATCTCTACTCAGTCCTTTAGAGAAGTATCACTTTTTAAAAACAGCTTTCTCCTTTTACTCGTGGTTGAGGCCTATTCAACTTTTTTCTTTTCTTTTCTTTCTTTCTTTTTTTGCTTTACTTAATTTTAATAATGTATAAATCTAGAGCATTCTTACCTCATTAAATTTTTAAAACCATCAGCAAAGGTACAAAATGCTTACATAACTTATTTTCTCTGGGCCTGTGGTAGCAGCTCCTCACATTTTTATCTCTAACATGCATATACACATTAGATACATCTGTGCTAGCGTATGCATACATATTCATGCCTATACACACTTGTATTTTTTTCTTAAGGCTAATTTTTATTACTGTCTCCAAGTTATTCAATGTCTGTTTCCATTTTATGTAAAAAATGAGAGAGTAGGTAGCCCTTTAGATGAGCTACCTTTAGGCTCTAGAAATAAGAACAAGATTTTCTAATAATTTTCATTCTACCATGTAATTCAGTCAATTCAACTAGCCACATGTGACTGTTCACGCCAACAATAACAATGAAAGAAGACTTGGTAGAAAACAAAGGACAAAAATATCTTACATTTCTGCTGACTTGTTATCCATCTAGAAATATGAAAATAGAAATCAGGCCCAAGTCTCAGCAGACTGAGGAAAACATGCCCATTGACACAAACACCATTTCAAAGGTCTCTTTTCTTCTCTGAGACACTACCTCACTGAAAAACTGCAGCTGACTTATGCTTTAATGGCTAAAATATTTGACACTGTAACTTTTGTTTATGCCTTTTCCAAACTGAGTAAGAGACTTTTATTCATAAAAATGTGTATTAGAAAAACTACTATGTGAAACTGCATTCTTCGTGAATTAAATCATTTTTTTCCTTTCTTGAAAAACATTAAAAGAGCTCCCCTGCCCCAGTTTGGTAATGTTCTCCATGAGAAGAAGCCTGGAGCCTGATGTGAGAGATTACACAGGGAGTGGTTCCCAGCAGGAGCAAGAAGCGGCACAGTCCCCACACATTTGTAACAAACTACGAACAATTTCATCATGCATATCTAGATTATATGTTCATATAGCAAACATAGTATGCAAACGTACAGAAAACAGTATAAAAATTTCTGTCTTTAACCCATTCAAATTAAAATATTCTCATCTGAAGCATCATTCCATCTGAGTAAGTCATGACATAATAAGATTAAATATGATTGTGGGAATTCGGTACTGGAAAGAAGAGATCCAAACTTTTCCTTTAACTAAGTGTCAATATGCTAAGCGAGAAGAGTGAGTCACATTAGCTGTTAAAGAGCCAAGAAGAAGCCAGACCTCTTGTTTCCAATTACCTGACACTACCTCTCTGAACTGTTTAAGCGACGGTTCACAGCTCACTGCTCTCACAGGCATTTACTTAATGTCACCCTTCAAAACAAAGTGGGCAATCAGACAGAGCAGTCTTCCATTTTTGTAACCCTGCTTCTGGTGCAAGTAGGGTTTAAGTTCAGCATTTCCCTCACTACTGTCTTTGTCATACCTTTTTTTTTGGTTGTGTTTTTAAGATTTATTTATTTTATGTATGAGTGCTCTATCTGCATGTACACCTGCATACCAGAAGAGGGTGCCAGACCTCATTGTAGATGGTTGTGAGCCACCATGTGGTTGCTGGAAATTGAACTCAGGACCTCTGGAAGAGCAGACAATGCCCTTAACCACTGAGCTAGCTCTCCAGCCCTTGTCATATCTTTCTAATTAAACTATATCTAATTAAGATTAGATACAGGGAAGTGTACAGATGCTACATAGACCATAAATGAAGATGGGATAGAAGAACTGGAGCAGCAGGCAGGTATAGTATTATTTCAAAGTATTAAACTAGATAATCTTTTTTACTTACCTGCTTTTATGGCTATCTGCTCCTCTGGTTCTGTACACAACGGTTTTCTTTGTACCTCTTGCTATGCCAGAAATCTTCTGCTGAAGAGCCATTCCCTTGTCCACATCCTGTTTCCTTAGATTTTTTTTTCCCTCAATTTCTTTGGGTGTTTTCTCAAACGACATTTTCCTCCCTAATGAGGACTTCTATAACCAACATATTTTAAACTGTATCTACCGCCATTTAGTCCCTTCATACACAATTCCTTTCTGGGATCTCAGACATTCTGTGTCTGGTACATCAGAATTCTAGTGTATTTTAATACACACTATCATGAGAACACTATGCAGAGATTTTGTCTGTGCTGTTCATTGTATACTCAGTACCTAGAATACTACCTGGCAGGCAGCAAACAGTCAGCAATTATCTGTCAAACATATCAATGAATCAATAGTTCCAAAGAGGAGAAGTTGTAGCACATCCCTTAGATTTGCGTGAAATTTAATAGCTAATAATGAAAACTTTCAGAAGAAAAATCAATATATAGGAGATTTAACTGATATCTATAGAAGAGAATGTAAACATTAGTGAACTCATATACCCTGATATAAACTTAAAAACAAGGGAAAGTAGCTTCATTTTTCTTATGATGAACATCAAGATAAATCATCTAGCATTAATGGAACAAGAAATTATAAATACAGGAAACCAAGAGTAGAACTAAAGTAATCTAATGACAGATGATGGTGGGGGGGGGAGTTTACAAGTGAAGACAGAAAGAATACAAGGCTAAACCATGATAAAAGTGAATAAACTAAGACTAGACAAAAAAATTACATTAGCTAAAGAAATGACAACATTATTAATTTAGCCCTCACTGGGAGTGGGAAGGAATGGTGTTTTGCTTTTCTTTTGGGGGGGTAGTGCTGAAAATAAACCCCACACCCCTTGCCTAGCCAGTTGATAAACATATCTAACTGAAAATAATTTAATTCTTGGTAACTGAGGCTCTTTAGATGCTTTAGGACTTGTGTTCTTATCAGAAGTAATCTTATTTGGCCAGATCTGATAGTGTAGGCTTCTGGGTAACCTCATCTACTTGGGAGGTTGAAGGAGGAGGATCACATGTTCAAGGCCTACCAAGGCTAGAGTAAGTCAGTCCAAGGACAGCCTGGACAACTTAGAGCGACCCTTTCTCAAATAAATAAAAAGAGGGCTGGAAATGCAGCTCAGAAGTAGAATGCTTGCCTAGCACACACAAGGCCTAAGAGTCAGTTCCCAGTACCCCCCCAAGGTGTCCTTATTTGTACTAATTCCAGACTATGTAACAGTAAATCTTACTGAAATAATTTAAATACAAAAAAGAAAATTCACTATCTGCAATATATTTTTCTGATTTAATTTCATCACTGAAGCAGAATATGAAGAACTTAATTTTTGGAGGGCTCTTTCAATTACCCTGATTCATGGGATTTCACATCCTATGGGCTATCAGTTTCTTGTTTTTCCCACAGTGAATCAAAGAGAATATAAATGAATGAATGAATGAATGAATGAATGAATGTGTGTGTGTGTGTGTGTGTATATATATATATATATATATATATATATATTTTTTT